AGCTCTCTTTCCCATGGAGATGCCTTAGAAGTCTCAGCTTTCTCCAGGAAGCCTGTACTTGGCAATTGGAGTTAGCCGAAGGAGAGACTTACCCGTAACCCTTAAATGATCACTACGTTTCATTGTGCCGATTTCAGAGCACTCTTTTCAATTATTTGCTTATTTAGAACAGTGCCTAGAACAGTACCTGGTCTGTAGCAGACACTCAATACTTGTTGAATGAATGAAGTTTTATGCTTCTCCTTGGAACTTGCCCCCTGGCCTGCCCTCACTGGTTTTCTTCCTCTCTGTTTTCCTCCATCACCCCTTCGAAGGTCAGAGTTGCACAGAGTCTGGCCCTTCATGTCTTTTCACCTGACATCTCCTATCAAGCCCTAGTCTGTTTCACCTCATCCCTGGAATGTGGCCATCACCTACAAACAGACGACTCCAATTCTCTCTCTAACATTTCTCCCCTTGTATATACTAGGGTTGCCAGATAAAACAGAGGACACCCAGTTAAATGTCCCATACAATATTGGCGACACATAGATGCTAAAGATGAATTTGTTGTTTATCTGAAACTCAAATTTAACTGGGTGTCCTGTATTTTGTTTGCTAAATCTAATAACCCTTGTCTAGATTTTGGGAATATTCAAGGTCCAGCATGTGGAAGAAATGAAGAGTTTCAGTGATTGTAAAACACAGAGGAGGAACTTTATTTAAGTGAAGGTCTGTAGGTGGGAAATCTTGTTTTTGCTGTCTAAATTACTTCACGGTCATTCTTGAAAGATAATAGTCACTGGATATAAAACTCAAGGTTGGCAACTTTTCAGCATGCTTATTTCCATGCTTCTGGTTTCCACTGTTGTTGTTGAGAAGCCAGATCAGTCTATTGTTCTTTTGAAGATGGTTATCTTTTTTTCTTTACTGCTTCTAACATTCTGTCTTTGGTTTCACTATTATATGTCTAAGCTCGAATTTCTTTCTATTTATCTTATTCGAGATTCTTTGGACTCTGAATCTATGGATTGGTGTTTTTCACTGATGCTGGCAAATCCTTAGCCCTTTTAAAATTGCCTCTGCCCATCCTGTTTCAGTTCTCCATTTAGGATTCCAATTCATTGCATCTTAGAGCCCCTCACTCTGTCCTCCATGTCTCTTAATCTTTCATATTTTCCTTCTTTTTGTCTTTCTATGCTGCATGCAAGGTAATTTCTGTTCTTCCTGTTATCTGAATCCCCCTTCAGCGCCTGCCTAGGGAGACGTTTTTTTAGCACCTTTATTGAGGTGTAATTAACATACCATGAAATCCACTCATTGTAAGTGTACAATTCAGTGATTTTACTAAATTTATAGAGCTGTGCAACCATCCCCATGATACAGTTTTAGAACATTATCCCAAAATTTTATCTCATGCTTGTTTGCAGTTAATGAGTATTCAAATAATTTAAATGAATCAATTTTCAATAATTCTTGCCTTGTAAGATGAGAGCACATTTTTGGCGCTCACAGCACACGCACGCAGTCGTTTATGTCTCTGGGATCTTTCTAGATTAGATGTTTCGGTCATATAAATAACAGTGACAATTGATAGGTTGCCTTGTTTGGATATTATCAGTGATGATGATGACAATGGTGATGAAGATAATGATGATGGCTACCAACTGTTGAATGCCTACTCTTTACCTGGACCTACATCGGATGTTGTATGACTGTTAGCGTTACTGATGCCATCTTGGGTCCACACAGTTCCTCCTGTTCTTCCACTGTCCCTACCCAGGATTATGCTATGCGGTAAATCACTTCTTCATTGTTAAGGGCTTTGTAGTTAATAGATATCATTTACTAATCATTAGAACCAGGTGGCCTCTATGCTCTGGTAGTCTCCAAACCATGATGAAATCCTTTGTTGATGTATTCCCGGCGCCCGTGAGACTAGTTACCCATTCATAAATCTCGACTTAGGAATGCACTCCCTGTTTCCAAGCACGTACCCCCATACCCTAGGTTATCTATAAAAGTATCCCAGTGGCCCCTCGGCACTGTGGAGTGCAGCTGCAAATACTTCTAGATCACTGTCTGCCCAATCCACCCCGTGAGTAAGTTACCCTATGATAAACTGATCCGTTGATTAAATGGAGCTGCCTGCCTCATTTTTTGGTCTCAAGATAATTTCTCAGTTTGATGGGCATTTTTTGTTCTCCCTGTCCTCCAACAGATGTTTCACACATTTTACCTTATTTAAGCTTCAGAATAACACTAGGAGGTAGGTATGATTTATCTCCATCTCAGGGGGAGAAAACTGCCTCTGAGAGGCTCACTGTCTCGCCCTAAACCTCACAGCCATGAGCAGTGGAGTTGAGAGGCAAGCTCTAGTTTGTTTGATCTCTGAATTCTAATCACTATAAACTAGTTGGTATATTGGTGAGAATGGTGGTTGAAGTTAACGTGAGGCTCCAGAATCATCTGTTGATTTCCTAGGTTCATGATCTGCCCCCTCCCTTATGTACCATGGGACCTTCCTCATATCCTTCAAGAACATTTTTGCCTTTATATTTCAAAGAACAGTCTTGTTCATTTGAGCCTTGTGAGAAAAACAAAGTGTTGGGTTTGCAGAAGGGGCTGGGGTCTGAAGTGCAGAGAGAGGCACTGGAGAAAGGGCAAATCAAGAATTGCAGATCAGTGAGAGTGTAGGTGAAAATACCACCTTGCCTTTGGTTCAACAGTTGTTATTGT